AACAAATAACTGTTGCAGCTTATGGGTGCCTAGCAAATCTCAGAACAGCATTCCGACATCTTAATAAGGAATCGTTCAGGACCCTGTACACCGTGTACGATAGGCACATATTGGAGTATGCTGCACCAGTCTGGAACCCACACCTAGCCAAGCACGAAAAGAAACTAGAGAAAGTGCAAAGGTTTGCAACAAGACTAGTCCAAGAGTTAAGAGGTATGTCCTACGAGGAGAGGTTAAGGGAAATCAAGCTAACGACACTGGAGGACAGGAGAGATAGGGGGAAGAGGTTAGCGACGTACAAAATACTGAGAGGAATTGACAAGATGGACAAAGACAGGATGTTCCAGAGATGGGAAACAGCAAAAAGAGGACACAGCAGGAAGTTGAAGACACAGATGAATCACAGGGATGTTAGGAAGTATTTCGTCAGCCACAGAGTAGTCAGGAAGTGGAATAGTTTGGGAAGCGACGTAGTGGAGGCAGGATCCATACATAGCTTTAAGCAGAGGTATGATAAAGCTCACGGTTCAGGGAGAGTGACCTAGTAGCGACCAGTGAAGAGGCGGGGCCAGGAGCTTGGACTCTACTCCTGCAACCTCAACTAGGTGAGTACAACTAGGTGAGTACATACAAACGGTATTCCGACATCTCAATAAGGTACCGTTCAGGACTCTGTACACCGTGTACGTTAGGTCTATATTGGAGTATGCAGCACCAATTAGGAACCCACTCCTAGCCAAACACGTAAGGAAATTAGAGAAAGTGCAAAGGTTTGCAACAAGATTAGTCCCAGAGCTTTAGGGGCATGTCCTACGAGGAGAGGTTAAGGGAAATCGACCTGACGCCATTGGAGGGCAGGAGAGATAGGTAGGATGTGATGACGATATATAAAATACTGAAAGGAATCGGCAAGGTGTACAGAGACAGGATGCTCCAGAGATGGGACATAGCAACAAGCGGCCATAGTTGGAAGTTGAAGACTTAGATGAATCACAGGGATGTTAGGAAGTATTTCTTCAGTCACAGAATTGTCAGGAAGTGGAATGGTCTGGGAAGTGATGTAGTGGAGGCAGGATCCATACATAGCTTTAACAAGAGGTATGATAAATCTCATGGAGCAGGAAGAGTTACCTAGCAGCGACAAGAGAAGAGGCAGGGCAGAAGCTGTGACTCGACCCCTGCAACCACAACTAGGTGAGCACAAACACACACACACACACACACACACACACACACACACACACACACACACACACACACACACACATAACTATGCAATTAACAACAGGATAAGTGGTGCCGAAAGTCAAAGAGACAAGTGCAGAAACAGATAGTGAGCAGTGAGGCAGCATACAGCGAGTGTGAAAAGATGTCAAACAAAAAATGAGACCAAAAAAATTTATTTGTATGAGAATGGCAGTAGGCCTTCCTGGGAATCTGTGGTTCTGCCTATAGTCTGTGTGTGGTGCGCATTCATATATATATATATATATATATATAATATATATATAATAATATATTATATTAATATTATATATATATATATATATATATATATTATATATATATATATATATATATATATATATATATATATATATAGGGAGGTACCACCTCTAGAACTGTTATTTATATATATATATATATATATATATATATATATATATATATATATATATATATATATATAATATATATATATATATGTATATTTTTCAACAAGTCGTGCCGTCTCCCACCGAGGCAGGGTGACCCAAAAAAGAAAGAAAATTCCCGAAAAGAAAATACTTTCATCATCATTCAACACTTTCACCACACTCACACATAATCACTGTTTTTGCAGAGGTGCTCAGAACACAACAGTTTAGAAGCATATACGTATAAAGATACACAACATATTCTTCCAAACTGCTAATATCCCGAAACCCCTACTTTAGAGTGTAGATATTGTACTTCCCATTTCCAGTCCGGCTATATAAAAATAACCTGTTTCCCTGAATACCTTCACTAAATATTACCCTGCTCACACTTCAACAGATCGTCAGGTCCCAACTACCATTCGTCTCCATTCACTCCTATCGAAAACGCTCATGCACGCCTGATGGAAGTTCAAGCCCCTCGCCCATAAAACCTCCCTTACCCCTTCCTTCCAACCTTTTCGAGGGCGACCCCGACCCTGTCTTCCATCTCCTACCGATTTAAATGCTCTCCATGTTATTCTACTTTGATCCATTCTCTCTAAATGACCAAACCACCTCAACAGCCATTCTTCAGCCCTGTCACTAATACTTTTATTAACTCCACACCTACTAATTTCCACACTCAGCATTTTCTGCATAATATTTTCACCACACATTGCCCTTAGACAGGACATCTCCACTGCCTCCAACCGTCTCCTCGCTGCTGCATTCACAACCCAAGTTTCACACCCATATAAGAGTGTTGGTACTACTATACTTTCATACATTCCCTTCTTTGCCTCCATAGATAACGTTTTTTGACTCCACATATACCTCAACGCACCACTCACCTTTTTTCCTTCATCAATTCTATGATTAACCTCATCCTTCATAAATCCATCCGCCGACACTTCAACTGCCAGGTATCTGAAAACATTCACTTCTTCCATACTCCTCCTTCTCAATTTGATATCCAGTTTTTCTTTATCTAAATCATTTTATACCCTCATCACCTTACCCTTTTCTATATTCACTTTCAACTTTCTACCTTTACACACACTACCAAACTCATCCACTAGCCTTTGCAATTTTTCTTTAAAATCTCCCATAAGCACAGTATCATCAGCAAAAAGTAACTGTCAATTCCCATTTTGTATTTGATTCCCCATAATTTAATCCCAGCCCTCTCCCGAACACCCTAGCATTTACTTCTTTTACAACCCCATCTATAAATATATAAATAATTATATATAAATATATATATATATATATATATATATATATATATATATATATATATATATATATATATATATATATATATATATATATATATATAATATATATATATATATATATATATTTTATATATATATATATATATATATATATATATATATGCAAAATACCCACTGTGAAAGAGTAGTGAAATTCCAAGCGCTTTCGTGACTACTCACTTTGTCAAGGTACTATGAAAAACTATGAAAGTAATACTTCAAAGGAAGATATATGAAATTAATATTAGTAAGGGAATGGTATATAGCTCTATGTTAAAACAAAACATTCCCAATTGCTCTCACAGTTTCTTTAAGTCTTATGATACACTTAACAATAATAAAAATTTACGTCTTACCAAAACAGATAAAATAAATGCAATAGTAATTATGAAAGAAAATTATTACCAAGAAAAAATTAATAATCTCTTAGATGATACTGAACTTTATTCTGATCTTAGAAAGAATCCCTTAGAAACCGTTAACATCAATTTCAATAAAACAATAAAACTTCTACTGAAAGACAAAGATGAATTAATTAAACAATTTACTTCCACTTATCCATCTTTTCCTTACATGTATGGACTAATAAAAACACACAAACCAGGGAATCCAGTCAGACCAATTATTAGCTCCATAGGATCAGTTTCGTATAAATTATCAAAATGGCTTGTCGACATTTTGAGCCCTATTGCTGGTAAAATTTCTAACTTTAATGTTAAAAACAACATAGATTTAGTTAATAAATTAAGCTCCTTGACTGACTTAAAAAAATTAACATGGCTAGTTTTGATGTTACTTCCTTGTTTACGAAAGTTCCTGTTGATGATTAATTATGTTTCTTATCTGAAGAACTCGTTAATTATGATTTACCATTGCCAGTTCCTACTATCATTAAACTTATTGAACTTTGCGTTGCCGATGCAAAATTTGTATTTAATGATAAGTTTTACACTTAGAAATTTGGTATGGCAATGGGAAATCCTCGCTCACCTGTTCTTAGTAATCTATACATGGAATTTTTTGAAACAAGGTTGCTTAACTCAATCCTCCCTAATAGAGCTAAATGGTTCAGATATGCTGATGATATTTTATGTCTTATGCCCAAAATGTAGATATACACCATTTCCATGTTAAATTCTATAAACTTTACTGTTGAGTTTAAGGTAAATAACTCATTGCATTTCAAGATGTTTTAATTATTAAGAGTAATAATGAATTCAAATTTAAAATTTACAGAAAACCTACAATTAACAGTTCCTATGTCCACTATTATTCTTCACATCAAGATAAAGTTAAACTGTCTGTTTTCTCATCAATGTTTTTGAGAGCTTTACGTATTTTTAGTCAAGAGTTCATAGATGAGGAAATATCCAAAATTTATGAAATAGCTAATGATCTGAAATACCCAAGAAATGTAATTGATAAATCATTTAAAATTGCTAGAAATACTTTTTACAACCCAAAAAGGGACAACCAGCCTTATTCAACTAAAAATATGCTGATTCTCACTTACCATGAAAACTTGGTTGATATGCCTTCTCTTCGTAAGTCTTTTAATATTAAAGTTGTATTTAAAAATCTTGATACAGTGAAAAAACTTTTGACAAAGAATTCCCTCAAAATGCTGATGGATGTGTCTATAAGATTCCTTGTAAAATTTGCGATAATGTTTATTACGGTCAAACTGGTAAAAGTCTCGAACTTAGATTAAAACAACATAAATATAGCATTAGAACTAGACAAGATTCCAATGCTTTATTTATTCATGTGAGAGATTTTAACCATTCAATTGATTTCCAAAAAGTTGAGAAAGTTGTATCAAGCAAGTCCATGGGAGACAGAAATATAATTGAATCTTGTTTCATAAAAAGCAGCTTTGAAAATAATATGAATATTTCCTTTGGATTATATTAATTAGATTCATTTATAATTAATAAAATCTGGGAAGAATTTAATAATACATTGGACAAATAATAAATCTTATTTCTTGGGTAGAACATTTTGTTGGTGGGACGTCGTAAGGACCTGTCTAGTTGGGCCAGCG